CCCCAAAACCCCAAAACCCCAAAACCCCTCTGTCTAATTCTTTAGCAGAAAAAGATTCATAATATTAATTTAACAAAGATATGAACATAAGTAGGCAGACAAGTGGTGACTCAAGGCATTCAGGTAAGACTAAGACCTTATTTATGAGCTATTGTAGCCATATTAACCCTCAGAACAGCTGCTTATGCTATAGTCTGAACATTTTCGATTCTTAGCCTTCTTTTAGACACTGAGAACAACCAAGAGCTTAACCCTGAGTTGGAGCAAGAGATCAGAGAAATGTTTAAAATTGTCGATACAGATAACGATGGGCAGATCTCTATAATGCTACCTTCTAATGAAGAGCTAGGTGCATTTGCATCTCAAGCTGGATCATCAGGGTTCAATTTACTTGTTGATATGTACCATATTTCAAAAACAGACTTGAAAAGCTACATCTGAATGATGGACAAGGACAATGATGGCCAGATCAGTATTGATGAGTTCCTCGATGGCTACAAGAAGAAACTTGCAGGCATTGATTATGATGAAGAGATCAGAGAAGCTTTTAAAGTCTTTGATACAGATGGAAACAATAAGATATAAGCATCTCAGAGGTAAGCCAGCCTCCTCAACCATAGATCAAAAAGATCCTGACTAGAGCTTCACCTCCAATCCCTGAACAAGAGATTGCCTTGATCATTAAGGAAATAGACAAGTACAATGACGGAAATTTCCATTACCAAGAATTCATTAACACAAATTCCTTCTCATAGCCAAGCTGGCACCCCTCAGCTACATCGGCCAGCTACATTATTCTTAATATTATGGATACGCTAAGTCGTGATGCACATGGGTTTTGGGGCATCCTTAATGAGGAAGAAAGACCCAGGCTGTTTAAAACAACCTGAAGTCTACCCTTTGCTTGTAATGTAGACTCTACCATACTTTTGAGAGGAATAGAGATCAACAGCTTGGGTCATAGTTTAGAGCCAATGCTGGCTTTTATGTAGCTTTTCAGTACTTTAGTGTAAAAAAGGGGTTTTGGGGTTTTGGGGTTTTGGGGTTTTGGGGTTTTGGGGTTTTGGGG